CCGGCTCCAGGACTCCCACCTCCATGGTGTAGTTGGAGTGCTGGTTGTCGAAGATCAGCGCCTCCTGCACGAGCTGGTGCTGCTGCTCGAGCAGCTCCAGGTTGGGTTTGTACTCCACGATGTTCTCCTCGTACTCCTTGAGGTGGCTGAGCTGATCCTCCAGCGTGCCGTTCATCTCGATGGAGATCCGGCCGATCTCCTGGGAACACAATTCCAGTCTGGAGCCGCTCCAGAGCTGACCCTGCCATTCCCAGCTCTGCACTCTCCAAGCTCGGAATTCCACCCCCCTTCTCCAGGAGGACACYGGGACATCACAGAGCAGCAGCTCCCACCCTCTCCCTCCCGTTCCCTCCCCCGGATCGCAGCGTTCCCGGATCCCGGCGTTCCCTGACCTCCATCTTGGTCTGGATCCAGGGCCCCACGCGGTTGGCCTGGCTCCCGAACTGCCTCCGCAGGTGCTCGTTGGAATTCTGCCGGTTCTGCTCCTCCTGCAGTGCCTGGTCCCGCTTGGGCACCAGCTGCTGCACCTGGGAATGSRGGRAAAAYGGGGAGAACGATGGGAAACGCTGCTGGGAAACCGGGAAAAGCACCGGGAAAAGCACCGGGAAAAGCACCAGGGAAAACTGGGACGGGGGAGGAAACTGCGGGGGAGAAGGGTGCTGGAAAACTGGGAATAGTGTGGGAAAACCATGAGGGAAAACCACCAGGGAAAACTGGGACAGGGAGAGGAAACTGTGGGGGAGAAAGGTGCTGGAAAACTGGGAATAGTGTGGGAAAGCCATGAGGGAAAACCGCGAGGGAAAACTGGGACAGGGAGAGAAAACTGCGGGGGAGAAAGGTGCTGGAAAACTGGGAATAGTGTGGGAAAACCATGAGGGAAAACCACAAGGGAAAACTGGGACAGGGAGAGAAAGGTGCTGGAAAACTGGGAATAGTGTGGGAAAACCATGAGGAAAAACCACCAGGGAAAACTGGGACGGGGGAGGAAACTGCGGGGGAGAAAGGTGCTGGAAAACTGGGAATAGTGTGGGAAAACCACGAGAGAAAATCCAGAAAAAAAGCTGGCAGGAAGCTGGGATGGGGTTGGGAATATTACAGGGGAAAAATCTGGAATTTTAGGATGGAATTGGGAAAGATCTGATGAGAAACCAGGAGGGGGTTGGGAAAACCATGGGGGGAAAAGCTGGGGATAGAAGGGGTTGGGAATGGAATGAAGAAAAGGGGGAAAAACAGAGAGAAAGGGGAGAAAAGAGTGGGAAAAAGGGACCAAAAAAGGTGAGAAAGGGGGGACTGTACCCGCTCCCACTTGGAGTTGATGATCTGGGGCGTGACCGAGGTGTAGGGGTTGTTCCCGGGCAGCTGGATCCCGTGCAGGTCGGCGATCCGCTGTGCCTCCCGCTGGATCCCCAGGATCGCCTCCCGCTCCTTGTCCGCGTCCGGCAGCGTCGACTTGAACTGGTCGTGGGCGGCGATCAGGCCCTGCGGGAYGGGAGATTCCCAAAGAATTCCAGAGCTCAGAGCTGATTTATCCCCAAAATCTGGCACAAAATCAGCGAGAGAACACCCAAAGCCCACCAGAAAACGCTCCAAAAAGAGGATTTTTGGGCATTGTTTTGGAATTTTTAGTGGTTTTGGGACAGGTGCCTGATATTTCCACAGAATTCTGTGGTTTCTACCTGGATCTCATTGATGGTGGAAAATGCCCCAAAACTACTCCAAGAGGGCATTTTTTGGGCCAATTTTGGGTGCGTTTTAGGGCATTTTTGTCCCCTGAACAGAGGAGCCACATATTCCCACAGAATTTTGGGAT